AGGAAGACGTCATTGGAGTTGAGCGAGGAGGCCCTGGCCGGCACCTCCGTGGCCTTTGTGTTCATCTCGTCCGTGCCCCTCACCTGGAAGAGGCGGATCACTGGCTCGGGTGTGTTCTTCTGATCCCGGCTTGTGCCGCCCTGCAAGGAAAGAGAGGGAAGGATGGCGCTGGGAGGTGAGAAGGACACGCCAATCCAGAGTGTGACTGGTTTGAGGAAGAAGGCTTTTGGGCTCACAAACCTTCATGCTGCTGCAACGACAGACCTGCACAGAGCAGATGAGGAAATCCAAATACTTTCTGGTTCCAGGTCAGAATAAACCCCACATGTCATAACTTCCACATTTCTCCCTGATTACTCTGAGTCTTGACCAGCTCCCATCAAGATGCTCAAGTTCAATATGATCAGATCTTAGTCTCTGCAAAGCATTTGTCATGTAAACTGGGCAAGGCAGCTGGACTTGGATTTCCAGCTGCAAACGTTTGGCTTAGCTGAACATCTGCCATAGAAGCTGTATGGTGGGACCAACACTGAGAGCCGAGGGCAATCCTCCTCTTCCCCAGCCATTTGCAATGTCTCCACCACAGATGTTGGCAGCTAAAGCAGCAAGTGAAGTGGGTTAGTAGTTAATGTGATATAATTCAGACAGGGACAACTCAAATCATGTAACTGTTTGTATGATATTTTGGAGGACCGTGTCTGGATTGTGCTATCTGTCATTTACAGCACAATTGTCTTATTGTCATTCTGCGAAATATTTTGTGATAGAGTTGGAAAGATTAATGCTCGAGCTCAGGGGTGGGCAGCTGAGTCTGGGTCAGTCCAGGACTGTGTGTACGCATATGGTGTTCAGACTACTTGGGAAGTAGTAGAAACATTCCACCACTTCCATCTGCCAGCCCATGCAGACCTGGCAGGCTCCTTTCCTGCATATCAGCCCATTTTTCTGGACTATTTCCATTGCAACTGCCAAGCCATCGTTGGTCCTTGCACCTTCCATTGCCCACGCGCACAAAGCCACGTTACCTCGTAAATGACCAGCTTGCCCTTGAAGATCGCCAGGAAGTGTGTGGGCTCCTTGCCCATCGTCACGCGCACCTGCACAGCCTCATCCCCATACTTCTTGTCCAGCTCAATGGCATTGAGGGCACAGGCGGTGATTTCATCCACAGAGGCATGGCGACCCTGGAGAAGAGAGAGAGACCACGTGCAACGTGATGAGGTGAAGGGTATAAAGCTCTGCGCAATGTAACATCTTGGCAATCCCAAACCCTGCATACAATATCATGAGATCAAAGTTAAAACTGCAAGATGTTTGAATTGCATTTGCATTCGGGTTTTGGAGCCTCTAGCATCCCATTTTCAAAGCTTTTCTCTGCATTCCAGGGGAGGAAAATAGACTTTAAAAAGGAAAACAGAGATATTCCTATACTCACATGACTCCAGGAGCTAAGGCTTTAAGGGACAATCTGAAAGACTACAAGGTTTGACCTCAGCACTGTAAGCCCCATAATCCTTCACTATTTCTGCCTGACATTGATGGCTCTCAGTCTGATGCCAGACTGGGCTCAGAGTGTCCATGCTACAAAGCACAACTTGGGATATTTGCAATGGACAACTGACGAGCAAAGGGCATGTGAGTTCTTCTGGATGCTTGGGATTTTTGCATGTAATTACTTCCTTCAGTTTCAGGCTTCTAGCAGACACAGAACAGCCCCTTCTGCTTTGGTTTGACCTACCTGCCACATATAGAGGACATAGTGAGGCCTGCCTGATCTCAGGTAGGTGTACAGGACCAGGTAGCAATCACCCCCGTAGAACTGCCCATATGTCTTGGGATTCACTGGCTGCATTTGCAAGTCCTCAATCCTCCACACCTAGTGAAATAAACATCTTGGTGAGCAGCAGTGCAGTCAACATGAAGACAAAGCACAGCCCCTTTGCTAGCAGACCACTGAAGTTCAGGTCTTCAGTTGGAAAGATAACCCTTCCTCTCTCCCCTGGAAGCCAGCCTATGTTCCCCCAGCTTGATTAAGTGCTTGCTGGTGAAGTCAGGTCTCGCCAGTGACTGTCACAATACATGTGCTTTGGACTTTCAGCAGTCAGTGGCCCTCAAGGAGGAGCAGCCTCCAGGTTCCTCTCAGCCCCACTCTCAACCAACTCCATCTTCCATGGGAGGCTGCAAGAATGGGAGAGGGGCCTCTGCTCTGCACAGATTTGGTTGATATGGACCTAACTGGGAGACAGTGTGAGAAGGGAGTTGACTGTATCCATCTCACAATCCACACACATGGCAGGAGAGGAGTCATCTTGGTGACTGCTTTGCTCCACTGGTCATGGGTTGGAGGAGAATGCCCCTGAGCTACTGTAACGGCTGCAATAGTTAGAGTTTGCAAGCGTTTTGCTCTGGCTGCAGCCATGCTTCCTTGGGGAGGGTAGGTGGGCACACCTTCACAGCTCCGTACAGCTGCTGTGTGTGAAATGGCAGAGATGTCGGGAAACGTGTTGATTATTGCATCCTCTGTTATCAAAAGGAGCTCTCTCACCTCTATCTCCCCGGAGGCATCATCTACCATTCTCTGCTCAGCAGCTAGCTCCGGTCTGGCGTGGAGCTGAGTGGTGTCAAACTTCACCTGCTCCACCTTGGCTGCATGCACCAGCAGAATGCAAACAAGAACCCAGTGAATGCACAGTAACGAACAAACCCTCTGCGTCACCCTCACGCACACACACAATCGTCATACACATGAGGAAAACCTGGTCTGCAGTTGCAAGAAGCCAATAAGCCAATGTTGATTTTGGTTTATGCAAGAGCTCATACAGTGTTGATCTGTTACAGGCTGGCAACTGGCCATATAGCGCGTTCCAGTGATGACTGGCTGGTCAAAATATTAGTTGTCTCCTGACTGAAAATTCATAATCGTTTTCCAAATCTATACATATTTCCCTCCTTCTAAAATGTCCCTTTCAGAAATAAAATGGCTACATTTCTCCGGCTCATGACAAAAAGAGAGAGTATTTATGGACAGCACGGAGAGAGACAAAGGTGGAGAGAAGAGAGAGAACTTGGCAAGGGACAGAGGTTTGCGGCTCGAGATATTATTTCGGCTCTCAAGCTATTATTGATGGAGTCATTCAGCATCTCTGTCACCATCCCATCACTCATCAACAAGTTCTCTCTCTTCGGTATTTGAGGTTAATGCATTGTAATATTCACTTCAGCAGCCTGATAAATTGAGGCACCATTTACACCCAGTGTAAATACAGAATAATTCCACTGATGTCAGGAGGGTCTTGGGTGGATGCCAGCGTACATGAAAGCAGAATGTTGTTCAACACTTCCTTATCAGGCTCAGCATTAGCCCTTTATAAAGAAAATTAGGAAGTTCTGCAAGTGTGAAATTTTGCATACAATTTTTCAGATGAGAGTGATCTTCTGCCAACATTTACATTTGGAATAAGTGGCAGTTTGGTTCATATAAGAAGCCTCAGCAGTTCTGAATGTTGTTCAGTTCCTGAATCCTTTGCATGTACTGAAGAAGGTGAAAAATACAAGGCATGAGAAGAATGTGCACTAGATTTTCAAGATACTGAAGGCAGGAGACAATTAATGTGAATGACGTTCCACTCAGCTGTGGCTTAGCACAGGTAGGAAAGCCAAATCCAGGACAAACGCTCACCAATTTTGCCAGTAGTGTAGACTTTGCCCAGTCCTTGTGTTTCATCCTTTTCTGACCACCTCTGGAAGAGCTGTTTAAACATGGCTGACTCCGCTCCATCATTGATCACTTCAATGTTGGTGGATGAAGGATAGCCTTTGGCTTGGATAAAACCCTAGTGGGGTTGAAAAAGGACATTAGTGGGGACACACTGAGCTTTTTACAGACATGAGAAGAGGGATGTGGACCTCAACCAGCCCAAAGAGTACACGTCCCCCACTGAACACAGTGGCATGAACAAGGGCAGGATTCACCCCAAGACTTGCATTCAGGAGGTATCTACAAGCTCTCACTGTAGTATCCATGTTTATTTCTATGTTTAGGGGACTGAACCCTAGCCCTAGGATCACATCCTAAACTTAATCTCTACATGGCACTTTAGTCTTGAAGAAAATCTCACTCAATGGGTCTAAGGAAAAGCCTCCTCCTCTATCTCAGACAGCTCCATAGATGGCTTCTGGGGACAGATCTAGGAGTGGAGAGAGCAGTGATGGGGTGTGCCCATGACCCAAGAGCCTAGTTCAGTTCTTTGCTTTTCTCCAAACTTTTTTTTCCCTCTCTAAAACAGGAAGACTGTCCTCCCTGTAGCATGATAGAGAGCATGCATGCCAAAGTAGTGAAGGGATGGAGGCAGCTAAGTACCCCAGAGCATGATGTGTGCTCTGAAGGGACTAAATTCTCACAAATCTCTGTGGTTTTTTCTTTCTTTTTTTCCCTAAAAAAAAAAATTATTTCTTTGCAATAGAGCTACTATTGAGTTAAAAGACTACTTCGACAGAGGTGCTTGATACACTGTGAGAGGGAAGAAAAGGATGTGTGTTCTGCCACAATGCCAAAGTCATTGTTTAGTTTTGGGAACTGCTCTTGTGTTTATCTCAGTAGACTCCAGGATGACCTGGAGGTACAGTGCTGACAGCCCTGGTTCGGGGAAGGAGCCTGATTGTGGGCTTCTGAGCATTCATCTTCTGCTGTAAATGCTGCAGCCACACACTGCCCCCAGGGAAAAGCAGAGCAGATGGTCTTCCCATCCCTCCCACCTGCCACACTGAAAGAAAGAGATATCTTTTGTTCTACATGTGTAGCTCAGGGCCAGAATTTGCAGAGCTGATTGCCTACTAAAAAGCATCTGAGTTAAGCTTTTGAAAGGAGCATAGAGGACTGTGAGATAAGTTTCAAGGCAAAGTTTTTCTAAGCTTTTCTTCTCCAAGACAATAGGTGCAATTGATATTGATGCTGGGTATCTCCAGGTAAGACCTTACTGAAGATGGGGCCACTGAAGTTCGTGATCTCCTAGTAAGGTCTCATTGAAGGTGAGGCCGTTTATGGTTTTCACATAAGTGAATAGATGAATTAAAAGCTAAGTTCCCTTGTAGCCTTCACTTCAACACGCCAACTTGTAAAAAAGCTACCAAATGCCTTACTCGCTCAGTGTCCCTTGAGGCTAATATTTTCTGAAAGGAAGTGTTGAGGCATGCTCTGCCAGAAAATAACTGCATGGCAGCTCATCTGGAGGAGCGGCATAGGTGCCAGAGCACTATGCTGGGGTGTTCTACCTTAACATGAGCCCTGGTCTTGCTTCAGGTTGGCCAATCTGAATTAATAGCTGTTAATAGCAGATCTCTCTCTACCCAGTGGAATGGCCCTGTATCATCTTCAAATTCACATGCAGAACCTGGGCCGAGACCCACTGGTGCTGTGAAAAAGACTTGTTGCCTGTAATGGACTTGCGGTTGAGGTCTGCAGCACCCACATAAAAGGCCTGGCCTTTCCAGAGATCCCAAGTAATCAAGTTCCCCACTGACTTGCCCAAGGTGTTACTCTTGGTTAGGAACACAAGAGATGCCTTTTGGGGTCAGAGCAGTGGTCCATGCTGCCTGGAACAGTGGCATTAAGAGATGCTGTTTAGTCAGCGCACACGAGCTTGGTGGCTGTCTTCAGTGTGATCCCTTCACTCTCCCCAGCATCCACAATATTGGGTCATGGATGTTAGAGAGGATATAAGAGCCCCTTTAACATCTGTTTATGGACCTGTTGACCATGGATTTGTCTAATCCCATCTTGACCCTGCTGATACTCTCTGCCTCCACCATCTCTTGAATCAACAAATTCCAGAAGTCAACCATTTACTGTGTAACAAAGTATTTTCTTTTATACTTTCTTTTCTTTAACGAATTTCTTCCTAGTTTTAGTGGCAGGTCTTAGTTCTAGTGCAATTTGGTGACTAACAATTTTGTGTTTACGTCATCATGCCTCCCTTAGATATTTAACTTCTCTCTCTGTTATTACACAGGCCAGCTCCTCAAGACCTACAATTAATTGTAGTGGTCAGATCTAGATGAGCACTTAGTTAACCTCCCACAACATTATTTGCACAACTCACCACAGCTCGAGTGAAGGCTGCTTTTTTCTCTTCCAGGCTGGAGGCTTTTCCTCTCCAGACGTAAATCTTAAAACCACCTTGGTCTAAAATGTAGCAGTCCTGAGGTGAAACAGAAAAAACAGATGTAAAATACTCTACGCAGGCAAAGGTCCTCATTTGTAGCCTACTCAAGTTGGATCTTTCTGGAAGATTTAGATTAGATGTAGATCTAGCTCATTTCCTTGCCTTGCAGAGCTCTGACCCTGGTGGAACCATTAGCAGAGGCAACAGAGGATGGATTTACTGTGGTTCATAAATGGACTACAACTACCATCAACCACAGTGCAGGTGTTCATGGGCACGCTGACCTTGTGAGCATACCTGATCCAGGCAGCTGCCCTTTAACTGTAATGAGTTAAAATATGTATTTTTTTAGGCATTGCTCAAAACTGGTTATTACCATCTCATGAGAGATGTTCCCAAACCAACAGAAACACCAGCTCCAAAAGGCTCCAGGAGAAGCGTATGCTGAAATATCATCCTCAGCCTGCTGTGCTTCAGCACTGCTGATGGTGGTGCTCATCTATGCCAAATCTGACGCTAAAGGAGCAGGAAAAGTCCAAGTTAGACCTCTTCTGCATGACTGCTTTGTGTCCCCGATCTGGAGCTAGAAGTGTTGCATCGTTGTGAACGCAGCAGGATCCCAAACCCAAAGGGGATGAGATGGCTGCCAGGCAAGCCTGTCTCCACTGCAGAGAGCTGGTGCTCCAAACTGACAACCCACTGTGTGACCAAAGGCTGCTTGTTTTTCAAACTGAACTTTGACAAGAAAAGCAAAAGCTTCATATGCCTGTAAAAGGAAACTGAGATTTAACAAGGCTGACACCAGGGTGAATAAGGGAGCTGGAGCCTTGCAGCACAACACTGTTTTGGAATAGGCTGGCTTGCACTGCAGAGAATTAAGGATGAGCAATTCTCTGCCAAATTTTAGCCAGAAGGATATTAGGAAAGCCTGTGTTTTCTGAAAGCCTTTTTACAGAGGGTCTGTAAAGAATGTCCTTCCAGGGTGAGTCACTGAGACCAGCCACTTACTACAGCAGGAAAACATGTCTTCGTGATTTTGTGAGCAGACTATTTATTTGCTCTGAATTCTGCAGATGGAGGGCTATCCCCAAACATCAGGTATTAAGAAGTCTTATTTCCATCTGGAGTTTATTCCTGGCCCACAGCTCTCCTTGACTCTGATTGCCAAGCTAATATCATCCTTGGCTGAGGGGGTCAATTTGCCATCTCTCATTAAAGCAGCTTCAACGCACCACCTACCTCTGGCCACTGAGGTTGTAGTAGGGCTAAGCTGTCCTGTTTTCAGAGGACACCTGATAAACCTGAACGATGGAAGGGCTGCTAATTTTCAGGAAATGGGGTATCCTATTGAAACAGGTGCTCAGCAGAAAACAAAGCAAGCCACAGCATCCTTTTCTCGCTGTGAGGGCTGATGGCTTTCTCTCACCTCGTGCTGGAGCAGATCCTGTGTCAGGGGCCGGGTGGCTATCTCCTGTACCACCAGGTCATTGTCCTTCTCGTAGACACTGAAAGACAGAGTCACCGAGCAGAGTCAGGCCTCACAGCGCTCGCCGTGAGAAAGGACAGGGTTTGAAGCCCGTCCCCAGACTTACTGGTAGAGCCGGACATTTGCTTTCTGCAGCTCATCTGCTTTCGCGTCCGGGATGGCATCTCGGAGCTCCCCGCGCCTCTCACCCAGCACCATCTTCATGATCTGCATGAGGTCCGGGGAGTCTTTCTCGTTGTCAATGATGCCGATTTGAGCACGGCCGCCTCTTTCACTGTCCCTGATGCTGCGAGCCAGCGCAAGACCCTGCACAGGGATCAGCAGCGGGTAAGCCCTGACGCCGACACCAAATCCAGCAAGCCTCTGACCTAGTGCAATGACTGAGCACCAACAGTCCAAGCCAGATTACCACAGCTCTCTGAAGCTTCTAGTGTCCTCCAAATTTAGCTATTAAAAATGTGTCTATAACACCTGCGTATTAACTAACTCTCAGGAAAATATTGCTTATTGTAGTCACTACTGGTGCTTGCTTCCGCAGGGCACAGGGGCACAGTAGCCACAACAGGCATTGCCTATGTGTGACTGTAGATAAACAGGTCCAATGATCTTGTGGGAAGGTCTGGGAGAGAAATGCACACATGCTGAGGACAACGAGGCTGGATGCTGCAGAGCTGCAGGACCCTGGGTGCCCCGTGGTGACATTTTACATTTGAATGTTTCAAGTATTCAAAAAACGTGGATGTTTTCTGTGAAAAAAGCAGTGTGAAATGCCAAACAACTAATTAGGCTGAAATCTCCATTTTCCATTGAATTCTTTGTTCCCATGACTCTTACCGCAATAGCTTTGAAAGGGGCCTCTCTTTGTTAGACCTAGGAAATGACCTGCTTGGTTGCCAGGCCTGAGATGAACCATGGCCTGCTCCTCCTAGCAGCCGTCCCTCTACCTGCTCCCCCTCCTCTGTGTCCTGAGGGTTTCTTTGTTTCATCTCCACTCTTGTGTCCTGAAAAATCACCTTCCGTGTGAAGCTTCCCCCTCTCCTCGCTCCTCCGATGACACCACGTGAAGAGCAGGCCTGTCTGCCTTTTAATGTGTGCAATGACTGGCTATGAGTTTGGCCACCAACTTTGCTGATGACTCATTGACATCTCTTGCATTATTACATCTCTGCATCTTGGTTCCTCTATCAGTAAAATAAGGATAATGACCCCTTTGCAAAGTGCCTTAAGAGCTATGGATCTGACCTATCAACACCTAGGTTACGTATTCCCCCTTGTCTCATACTGACCAAGCTGGAATTCCCTGTGATGCTGTAAAAAAAAATTAAAATCCATCTACCCCTGGGGTAGCTACTGCAGCTAAACCTACTGATGTTGCTGACTTTTTAGTCCTATGTCATGCAAACTACAGGGCACAGAGGAATGGAGATGGACCTCCCCAGCAGGAGCTGGATGCCTTTCTGCAGCTGGAGCTAGTGATGTGCCCACAGCTGCCCACAAAACCCAAGCTGAGGCCAGGGATGAACTGGAGCAAAGCACTTCCCTGGGCTTCTCATACCAGCAGATGGACAAGTAGAAGATTTACCATGATTTTCTCTGTTCATTTCTGTGTTGCTGGTTTTACTGAGATTTTCACTGTGCAAACATTGAGCACTGTTTCTCTGTTTTTTTCCCAGGCATCAAAAAATATCACTAGTAAACTAAGTCGGTTTTGCCTGTACTCACCCTGGATTTCTCAGCAATGCTGCAGTTGGGTCCGTTCCACTGAATCAGCACTTTCCCAAGGTCCAGCAAGAAAACATCACCCTTATTGAAACTGTCCCAGGAAAGTGCTACCTGTCACGAGGAAATGAAAGTGTTTGGCAAACGGGGAAGGACAACAAGAGCTGCAGGAGACAAGTCACAGCCATTGCAAACTTGCCCCTGGGGACGTAGCAACTCGTCTGCAATGACACGCTCATTTTTCTAGCACTCAGCTATTCACTGAGCCCAATGGCTTCTCTCATGATAATACCACCCCCCCGAGTGAGGTGTTGAAAACTACCCTGTAGTAGGGGTCCTTGGGCAGAGATGAGCTATCTAGCAGGCAAACCTGGTCAAAAATGGGTGTAGGAGGAGAAGCAGGGAGAAATGATCCATAAGGAGAGAGGGCTTTTCTTCTTACCTCTGTGGCTGACACATGCTTCTTCCCCTTGACATGAAGAAGACGCTTGATGTTGTACATATTGGTCTCCACATGCTTAAATCCTGAAGCCACTCCTCCCTTCTTGTAGCTGTTGTGTGGCAGGGAATAAAGAGTAAGAGCTGGTTAGAAAACACCTTCCCCTCTATCCTCTGAGAACATCTCAAGCATTTGGTGACAACTAAAAACTATAGAACCACTATAGCCTCAAAGTCCTAAAAATGGAATGTCAAATGCTGCGGTGCCTTACTCTGCTGTTCATGGGCCCTGATCAGACCATGACTCCTCACAGTGGCCATCCACCGGTTATGGGTGTTGTGTGGGTGTTGTGTTGCTGTTGTACATCTTGGGAGGTGTGTAGATGAACAGGCAGGTCAGGGATGGCAATGGAAACAGTTATGTCGGTTGTGTTCAACCAAACCAAAAATCCCATTAACCATGACAGTGGCATCTCAGAATTGAAATATTCCATAAACATTCAATTAAAAAATGAAACAGATTTTGCAGAAAACAGACTGTTTGCTAAAATTTGTTTGTTTGTTTGTTTGTTTTTTTCCAAAATAGTTATTCTATTAAAAGTAGCTTAGATGATAGGAAATTGTTGCCATAAGCAGAACAAAATGCTATCATAAAAAGGTACAGGACACTGCCTTTCTCTCAGATTTAATCTATCAATTTTGTTCTCCTATTCTTGAACACACATTTTGCAATAGCTGTTGTTAGCGCTGTATTGCCTCACTGCACGATGCCATCCCCTCCTTTCTGTGCAACTCTGCAAGGAAGACACAATCACATCATGAGAGGACATGGTCCCCCAAGGAAGTCCCAGAGCCTTTTAAATGGTTTTTTTGGCAACTTTAACCCACTTCCACATATCCTAGTCCATTTTAGAAAACGGATCCAATGTTCATACTACAGTAATAATTGACACAATGTAATTGCCATTTATGGGAAAAGGAGACAATTGCTGAGAGTCTTGTAGTTTTTGCCATGTGGGTAATACATGTATTTTATCATAACTTGGAAGAGACTGGCAAATGTGGTCGGGCACGTGAGTGGTTCACATTACTTTAGACTTGTTTGGCCCAGTTTAACATATCCACAGCAGGATGCTCTGGTGATTAGTCCACCTGTCAAGGTGTGGAAAGAGCCTGCTTTAATTTCTCATTCTGCCTCAGACTTCCTGATTGACCTTAGGGATGTGGTTTAGACCAAGACAAAGTCTAACTCATACTGATTTCAGAGGCAGATAGGTTTCCAAATAGACTTCTAAACCTACATGTTTTTGAAGGTCTGAATTTTAGTCCTTCACTGTCCCTTACTCATCTTTAAGATGAGGTTAAAAGCACTCTTCTGTCTCACAAAAGTCCTGAGGACACTCGTGAGAGGTTGTAGAGACGCACAATACAGAGGTATCAAAAGCCAGACTGGGATATAGGGTATTGACCGAGGATGGGTTTTCATCTGAGTTTTCTTCAGCTGTTTAAGAGCAGGGCACTTAGGCTGTTCATTGCCAATGAAGGTCCTCCTGGAGGATGGCTATCGGAGTCACCTTCCAAAGACCCCAAAGTGAGCAAAGAAAGACCACAGGACTGGATTCAACAGCATCTTTTAGATGGCAGAAGTTCAGAGTCAAACTTTCCTTCCACTACAGGAATATTACTCCCAGTATGAGCCAAATCAGCACTTCTCTTCAAGGTGGATATTAGTCTGCAGCGCCCTGAATGGGTATATTAATCTAAAGTGTGTGGAGGAGAGGAAGGAAGACCCTAGGGTGAACAAACAGGAGGTTAAGATGCAATTACTGTAAATATCTGGGAAAACGACCACTAGAACAGAATGACATGGTTCCAGACTCAATGCTTATAAATAATTCTTTCAAAATGGGAAAATTTTCTTCTGAATTTTGACGAACTTCAACGTTGATCCATATTTTTCAGATTTTTGAAATGTTGTTGGCTCCGAGATGTAGAAAAGCAGAGGGAACCCCAGGGACCATGACCCACCTCGTTGCAGGGTATGTTATGCTACTCACATAATGCCATTGCGGAAATAGCTTTGGAAGGTCTCGGACTCGTGTCCCTGCACTTCCCGGTGCTGCACGGGGTTCCCTCTGAGCGCGTTGTCCAGCTGGGTGACGTACAGGGCCGCGGCACCTTGCTCATCCTGAGATGAATCCTTGCCAATCCAGTAATGCAAATCCACAGCGGAGCCGCGAGAGGTTCTTTTGGTCTGGAAGAGGTGGGAAAGATGAGTCAGGATGAATACACAGCTCATACGTGTGTTTCAAATAATATCGCTGGCCAGGGAGACCTGGCAAAACCAACTGACCATGGAGCCCTTTCCCAGGGCCTTTCCCAGTTCTGCCTTTCTCCTGGGCAAGGGGAGACGGGACAGAGCCTTAGGATGCTCCCTGGGAGCTCAGCCTGGAGCCAGGGACCTTATTCAGGAGAGCATTTATGGGTTTTATGTACATATTGAACTGAAGGATGTTTCTATCTGATATTCTTTTATAACTCTTGATATCAAGGAAAACTGAGCACCTGTGCTATTACAAAAATTAATGTGTTCAACCTGTCCTACTTTTGTAGACTTTGATATTAAAACTTAAAGGAGACTCTTCTCATAGATCACCTTTTTAAATGTAATGTACACTGCTATTTTTTTGCCTGGAGATACTATCCTTTTTTTCCTGTTCTCTTTCTCATATCGCACTACACGGTAACACAAACTGCCTCTGA